TTATATAAACCTATTTAATGTAATTTAACAATTAACATTGATTTTATTTTGATTTTATTTATTTTTTTATTTAATTCAAATTATTTTAAAAATTGTTAAAAAATTAAATGACTTGGCTCTTTTAATTATTAATATATTACATGTCTATTAGAAGTTAAATAAACATACCTATTTAATGTAATTAGTATTTATAAATTATCTTATCAATATAAAACTTTATTTATTTAATTGTTATTAAACACAATTTATTTTAAATATTGTTAGAAGAATTTTTCTATTATCAGGGTGATCAACTAGTAGTGACTGAAATTATGATGATTGAAGTTAGAAATTGGATCAACAAAATTATTTATTAAAAAAAAAAATTTGGGATTTGCGAAAAAATGTACTTAATAACATTTCTGTAATAATTACTGCAATATTCGCAAATCTAATTTTAATAATTTTGTTGATCCAATTTCTAAAATAATTTGTATCTAATAATAAATAAATAAAAACAGAACAAAAATTAAGTTTTATATTAATAAGATAATTTTTAAATACTAAATTACATTAAATAGGTATGTTTATTTAACTTCTATAAATATTTAATATACAAATAATTAAAAAAATCAAATCATTTAATTTTCTAATAATTTTTAAAATAAATTATAGTATCTAATTAGAAAAAAAATAAAATCAAAAAAAAATCAATGGCCTATTTGATAAATAATTTTTTAATTGCTAAATTACATTAAATAGGTATATTTATATAACTTCTATGCATATGTAATGTACTAATAATTAAAGAATCTAATTTTTTAACAATTTTAGAATAATTTACATCTAATAAAAGAGGGAGATAAAATGAAAAAATCAATATTTTATTTAATAAATAATTTTAAATACTAAATTACATTAAATACTAATATACTTCTATATATATTTTAATTTACTATTTAATTGAATTAAATATTAGATATATTTATGTAATTACTACATATATTTAATATACTAATGACTAATCATTAAAAGATCCAATTTTCTGACAATTTTTAAATAATTGGCATCTAATAGTAAAAAAAATAAAAAATTAAAAAATCAATATTTTTTTCAATAAACCAATTTTTAAATTCTAAATTCAAAACAAATAGTATATCTATACTATAACTTATATAATAGTATATATAATGAATTGAATAATTAATTGTTGAATTATATTAAAAAATCTTTATAGTAATTAAAATAATAAATTATAATAATTGATATAATATAATTTATAAGTTTATTTATATATCTTCCTTATAAATTCTTAATGTGATATATATATGTTAACTTCCATAAATATGTAATGTATTATTTTATAACAATTAAAAATGAATTATAGTAATTGGTAATATTATATCAATTATAAATTTTGTAAATTTTCTTTACAAAATTTACATAATATTTATAAAACACAATGTTTATATATCTTTATATTTCAAATAAATAATAAAATAATATCTAGTATATCTTTTTTATTGAATATATTGAATATCAAAATACAATAAAAAAAAATGTCTATTATTTGGTTAAATATACTAAAATGCTAAAAGTTAACTTGGCATCAAGTAATTACAGAAAGATAAAATATAGCTTTTTGGATTATTTTTTGAGATATCTTAAATGGTGGTAGTTTCATACCTTTAGAATTAATAAATAATAAGATATTAACATTATTTATTGAAAGAATTTTTTATATTCTTAAATATTTATAAATACTAATAACTTTTTATTTAATGATAAAGCC